TCTCAGCAAGCCTGTCCCTTTCAGGGCAGCTTTCTGCCTGTTTGTGTCTATGCAAGTGTCCTTTACTCTTCTCTCCCTTTTCTAATAAACTTGGCCTTTTGGATGTGACTAACATCTCTGTGTTGTGGAGAAACTCACCTGGGAAACTCACCACCTGCCTCTGAAAGGGGAGTTCTGGTGAAACCTTTTCCAGAGTGAACCCAAGGACCCTACTCTCCGAACCCAACAACTCTAGAACCAACATTGGTGCCACCGATTTCCACATATGAGTAAAATTGTGGTATTTTTCTTTCTCAGTCTGACCTCATGTTGCTTAACATAATGTCCTCGAGGTCCATCCATGTTGTTAGAGGGGCAGGATGTCATGTTATTTGACGTCACTGTGTGTAGTCCATTGTGTGTGTATACCACATCTCTTTACCCACTCACCGGGGGTCAGCTTTGGGCATTCACTCGTTTCTGTCTCAAAGCTCCTGTTGTAACAGAGTAGTCCCCAGGCAGAACCCATTTAGAGCAGGTTTGGGGGTTCAGGAACCCCTCCTCTTCCTGCCCTGTAACACTATGAGATGGTACCTGAAAAGGTAGTGGACATTGAGTGTCTATTTTTGACCAGGGACTGAGCTGAGGGTTTTAAGTGTGAGAGCAGAGAAGTGGGGTGGGGAGACCGTGGCTGCCTGTGTGCACAGGGCCTGGCCCAGCGGAATGCCTGATCCCAGCATGTGCCGGGCAGGTGGCAGACATTTTTGCTGTGGAAAAAGCGATGATTGGAGCCTTCCATGTCCTGAGAAGGGAGACCCTTTAATTGGGCCCTGCCTTGGGGGACACCAGAGTAAACATGAAGATTATTACAGGTGTTGGGTAAGGAATAGTGAGTTATCAATAAATAGCTTATCTGTTTTCAAGTCCTTAGAATATCCTCACCACCCCCCTCCTCAGAGCCTTAGCCTAGAAGAAGTGGCCAGAACCAGAACAGGTTTAAGGTGCAGAGCGCTGGCTGAAGGTATCTACCCTCCCTTGGAGGTACAGGAGAGAGGGCCAAGGGGTAGCTTTGGCTTCAGTTTGCAACAGCCCCTTCCCCCCCACCGAGGGAAGGGTAACATTCAGAAAGGGGCCCCGGGTGCCGCCTAAAGGAAGTTGAGGAAAAGATGCCCAGGACTGGGGGTGGGGGCCTTGAGGGGTACCAGTGGCTGCCGGGGGAACCCTTCCTGCCCTCCCAGCCTCATGCCTCAGCCCTCCCCTGTGTTTCTCCTCCCCTTCCAGGTCCCGCTAGAGCGACATGATGGTGGAATCCGCCTCGGAGACAATCAGGTCGGCCCCATCTGGTCAGAATGGTGTGGGCAGCCTCTCCGGGCAGGTGGATGGCGGCGGCGGTGGCGGGGCCGGATCGGCGGGCGCAGCTGGAGGCAGTGTGGGCAGAGACACAGCTGCCAGCGCGGACAGCAATGGCGAGATGAGCCCCGCAGAGCTGCTGCACTTCCAGCAGCAACAGGTAGGCACCGGTGCCCCTCCCGGCGGCCTTCTTCCCACTGCCCTGAGGCCTCTGGGCTCACAGCTCATCCTCACCTGCACATTGTCGACAATGTCGGGCCCACAGGAACTTCATCTGTGCCCTCCCATTCTAGTGGTCACCCTAAGATTGGGGGAGAGCCCTGCTTCCAGGAAAGAAAACTAGAACTGAGGGGGCGAAGGGGCACTGAGATCATGGAGCTTAGGACAGTCCCAGCAATGTCCTGGGCAGCAACTTGAGGGTGTGTGTCTTGGGTGGGTGGTGGCTTGTATTCTCTTGCACGCTGACCAAGTTACAGGGTGGGGGCATCTTGTGTTGCATAAAATACAAAAGTAGCTTTACTTTTGTATTGTAAAACCTTCCCCACCTCTGTCTAGGCCCCTGACCCAAGCTGCAAATAGATTAAACTTGCAGGTGCCAGAGGCCCAGATGGTCGGGGGGGTAGGGGGGGCTGGGGGGGGGGAGGAAGGCCTTTGTTTTTAGGGCTCAGACTGCAAACCCTTGTCTATGTCCCTTTCCTTCTGCCACCTCTCCTCTGCTGCGGGTCCCCCTCCAAACTACTGCAGTTTTGAGAGTTCAAGAAGGATCAGCCTCCTTGAGGATTGAGAGGCCTGAGGGCGGGGAGCCTGATTGGGTGATGACAGGGGCCCAGGTCCTAGCCCCACCTAGAAAAAAGGGAGAATCTGTGCTCGACAAGTTCAGAAGAACCGGCCCAGCCTGCCCTGGCTTTGGGATTCCTCTCTTATTTGCCTCTGTGTTTCTCAGATCACTGACAGTGGCCCTGGGCTCTGCTGAGAAGAGAAAAAGTGGGGTCCTGCACGCTCCTCCCTGCCCCTGCCTCATGCTCACAGGTGCATGTCCCCACATTGCCCTCCTCGCGCTGCTCAACCAGGTTCACCCTGGTGCTCCTCTCTCCACACTCCCAAAGGGACCTTCCCCACCACAGTCCTTTGAACAGAGGTCGGACGGGAAGCAAGACTGTCAGAAGCCCAGCGCCCGGCTCTGAGTTGGTCAGCCTTCACTAACAGGAATTCCAATTCCAGGAGTCCCTAGAGGCTGGTTAAGTGTCAGCCAGCTGCTTGCCAATGATGTGACCTAGGCCAAGTCACGGGCCTCACAGAGCCTTGCCTTCTTGCTGCTAAAATTACAGGGTTGCTAGGATTAGGTGCACTTGGGGTATGGAATCCCTGTATGCACCGATGGGTTGATGCAGACATGAACGGAACTTCCAACTTTAAAATTCACCTCCTCCTGCAAACAGTGAAGGCTTAAACAGGACGGGCTTGGCTCCTGGTCTCTGGGTGATGGTCTTTGTGAATTTGTTGGCATCTCCCAAGCTTTTCTAAGCATTGCAGTCTCTGGGGAAGAGACCTCCAGAGTCTATGCAATCTGTCTATGAGGACAGAAGGTCAGAGGGCAGAATCCTACCTTTTCTCAAAATAATCACAAAACACACCCCACCAGCAGTCTCCAAGGCCACCCATTTTGTATGGCCAACTCTTCCCCAGCCACACCTCTGTGTAGACAGAGCTATGAAGAATTTTGAAATGGGTGGAGGGGGTTGCACGGAGGAAAATAAGAAGTGAAGAGTGACACAGATGTCTGCTCAACTGGGGAGATGAACGGGGCAGGGAGAGGCAGCACCGTCTGCGCCGATCGGCTTCTCCGCCCTGCACGCACACCGCGGCTTTCACTGTCCTTTCCACGTTCCAGTTATTCCTGTTTGTTCTGGGGAATATCCCAAAGTCCTGGAAAATCCTATATCTGTTTCACAAATAAACTGGGGTGGAGATTTGGAGGCCTGCAGAGGACTGTTTTATCCATTTGGGTTCACTATGGGCGTAGTGCCCAGGGCCAAGGAAAATATTTGAGACTTTAGAAAGGTTTTGTTGGCTCCAAACTCGGAAAAGAACCCTGCAAAATTAAAATTACAAAACTGTCCATTAAAATGAAATAGTCCATGGACCATCCTTCCACCTCCAATATACAAATGAAGCTTTGGGGGCCACACTTCATGGTACCCCAATCAACAGATGTTCCTGACCATTTGTAGGGTAAAACAAAATCACTTGCATCTGTTCGGTGCTCCGGTTTGCTCACGTATGCTGTGCCATTTAATGTCCTCCCCATCCCTGGGAGGTAGCCATTTCTATTTCGCAGTTAAGGGGCCAACCAGAGAGACCAGTGACTTGTCCAGGTGATGTGGGAAGGCTGCAGCTGGACCTTTGGTGTCCTAGTCCTAGGTCAGGGCTCAACACAGACTCCTTTTGCTCTGATCACATCCACACATCCCTCTGTGGGAGATGGGCAGAGCAAGACCAGAGACATAGTAGATGCTAAGTAAACAGCTGTTGGCAAGTGGATGAGAACACTCCATTCTCAACCTAAAAGGGCTCTCAAAACAGACAAAAGCTACACTGCCCACTGGCCCTAAGTAGCCACTCTAGACAAAGGAGGTGGGGGTGGGTCTGCTGGCTGTGAACTCCTCCTCCTCCTCCTCCTCCCCATGTCGCCTTGAGTTACCGGGCCTCGCCCCTCTGTCTGTCCGTCTGTCTTCCCTGTCTCTGCTCTGGGTAAACAGCCCTAGAAATGCAGTCTTGGCCCTTGGGAGTAATGAGTTGACAGAGGGAAGCGAGAGATAAACAGGGAGCCTCGCAAGTCAGGCCGGTGACAGGACTTTCGGCTGAAGCAAACAGTGCTGCAGAGGGCAGCCTCGTCACTTTGGAACAAGAGCAGGAGCTGCTTTCCATGCCCCCACAGGCCGGGCCTTGTTTTAAACAGAGGTGGGGTGGGGTGACACGGCTGACGCGAGAGGGGGGGTCCCTGGCCAGCTGCCCCGTTTCACCACTCAGCGCTCCCTCCTCCCAGCCCCCTTACTGTGAGTAACCAAAGTGCACCACCTCCACGCTGCCCTTGGGGCTTCCACTGGGGCTTCGTTCACCCTGTCTACCCTGGGGAAGGCTCTGGGGAGCAGCAGGCCTGGGAACGTGCTTGGCTCAGCAAACATGCATTGAACCTCATTTTGCACAGGGTGTCCTGCTGACCAGCTGGAGTTGTGGTCCCCAGCTGCTGTTAAAGAATACCCTGGACCCGGTAGACGTGCCAGCTGCCCGTCAGTCGCGTCCTACACCGTGGCCAGGCCTACTTCCTTGTTGCCCCTGTGTATTTCCCCTCCGTGGTGGCTGTTTTCCCTCTGAAGGTTGCCTTGCATTTTATCCTAGTCTGAGTTCACCCTTGTGGAAATGTGCCCAGTGTGCGGGGGACTCCACAAATACCCTGTGGGCTTTCAGTGCGGACAGTGAGGCCTGGGAGGAGTGTGTGCCAGCTTTGGGAGGGGGAGGACATGGCGAGACCTTGGGGCCAGGCGTGGGGGCAGGGCGGGCAGAACTGCTGGCGTGGTGGCGGCCAGGGCCTCTGGAGCGGGCACTCCCATTGTCCTTGGGTTTCAGGGGTGACAGGTCAGCGAGGGTCAGGGGAGGGTTGCCTAGCGGCTGGGAACTCCCACTGCAGTTGCCATGGCAATGGGGCCAAATCCCACCCTGTTCACATCCTGTGAGGAGATTCAAAAGGGTTGGGGGGCTCTGCACATTAATGAATCTTTACCTCACCCCACTCCAAAGAAATGGGGGAGGGGGTCAGGGAGTCGGGTGGACTGGGAGAAGAATGGAGGAGATTTCTGTTTTCCTTCCCCATCTGGCTCTCCTCTGCCCAAGCTCCTGGGGGTGGGGAGAAGGAGAAAGGGGAGGTTTCAGAGGTAAACTGGCCCCTGCACCCCCCCTTGCACACTGTCACACTCTGTCAACAGTTGTCTTTGATCTCTGGCCCCACACCTTCTGGAGCCCCTTTCTGGGAGATGCTGGGGGCCTGGAGAGAGTTGGGTTTTCCTTCTTCGATCAGCAGAGGCCTGACCTCAGCTGCTGGGGCAGGATTTAGAAAGTGCCCCTCCCTCCTCTGGGAATAGAGGCAGGGGCTGAGTCCTGGGCCAGAGTGCTGGGTGCCCCAGGTGGGGTTGAGGGAGGAAGCTGTGTCAGGAGAGGGCCTCCCCCCACCCCACTGCTATACCCTCCTGAGCCAGAGGCTGCTTGTGTGTCTGCCTCCTAGGTCAACAATAAAAAAAGTTCTCCTGGTGGGGGAGCTCTGCTAAGGAGAGTGGGCAGAAGGTAGGAGACAGGGCCAGAGCCACGAAAGGAACCCCAGAACTTGCTTATTTGGTGCTTGGGAGGAGCCAGCCGTGTACCCACTTCTCTGGTAGGGAACTCTGAGCCCAGTCTTTTTCCTTCTCCCTCACACCCCATTTTATGCCAGCTGTCTTGTCCTTACTGACAACGATTGAGGAGACAGGGAGGAGAGGAGGGAGGCAAGTGTTTTTCTTCTGAGGGTGGCGGATTTAGCAGGAAGGATTGAGGTGAGAAGGTGGCCTCTGAGGGCCACCCTGTCAGGGCGGGACCTGGCCTGGAACCCCCAGTGGCCGAGCTGCTTTACCCCTTTATTGTGAGAAGCCCCAGTGGGAGCCCTTAGAAGGGAACTGCATCCTAGCTCAGCCTGCTGCAGAAGTGGCTGGTGTGGGGGCGGGAAGCTCCTCCCTGGAGTAGACCTGCTTCCACTCCTGATACCTCCAGGCCCGATAGAGAGCAGGCAGGCACCCCTGGGGTGCTACAGTGGACCCCCCACCGCCACTGGCAATCCCGCCCTGCACTATTTTAGCTCCCTCCTAGGCACACTGAACTCCTAGGCATTTACCTAGCTGATTTGGGCTCGGAGAGGCCAGAGGGGCTAGAACTGCACCCTGGGGTGGGCGAGGTGCTTCTGCTGGGGCACTGGAAATGGAAAAAATGAAGGAGCAGCAGCAGCGTGTTGCCTTTTCAGTTCTGTCGGGTCATTTTTAACTCTCCTCCGTGGACTAGAGGAGGCATTTTTTGACACTTGGTGGGGAAGAAGTCCCAAAGAGAGCTGTACACCCTGGGTGCGAGCCTCCCACCCAC